GAGCGAGAGAGAGCGAGAGAGAGCGAGAGAGAGAGAGAGAGAGAGAGAGAGAGAGAGAAGGGCGCAACATTACCGGGGCCCCTTCCTTCCAGCTGGGGAGCAGAGCAGAGCGGAAAGTGCTTCATGCACAAGCAAGGGGGAGCCAGGAGCTGGCCAATGCTGGCCGAGCCCAGAGAGCTCTGGGTAAAGGCCTCTAGCCGTGTGTCCAACAGAATGGGCCCGTCCTTGGCTTGACCAACTGGCCCTCAGTCCCAGCCAGCGTCAGGGGGGCTCATAGGCTTGGAGAAGAAGCCTGCGATGAGCAAGTTGGCTAAGGACTTCTCTGTGCCCTGAATGGACATATAGCAGAATAGGTACTGGTCAGGAGAAAGAATCCAGGGCTGAGGGGACAGAGAGGCAGGGATGTTCAGCAGCCATCGTTAGAATCCCACACCCTCACGCCACGGTTCTGCTAGTGAACTGAGCAGAGGAGAGAGAGATGGTTCAATGAGAGGTTTAGGGAGAGGACAGGGGCCCCTGCGTACTGCTCCAGAGTAAACCATGATGGGTGTCCTTGATGTCTACAGATCCCTCCAAGCACCCTGCCTGTAATAGATGTTCTTTCCATCCTGGACAGTTTCCCTGGGAGGTGCACATAGCTAATACTTCCCTAGTAGCTCAAAAGTTAATGGTTTGAGTCCACCAAGAGGGTGGTAAGGAATGAAGCGTCCAATGAAAAGGTATGTGGTTTGAATCTACCATTTGCTCTGTGGGAGAAAGCGGGGCAATCTCCTCCCACGCCTCTGAGAACCACTCGAGGGTCAGCTATGGGTTGGTTGCGACTGGATGGCACAGCGCCCCAACAGTGAGAAGGAACCAACAGACAGCGCATCTATATTTATAAAGTGAGTGGCCATCCAATTCTTCTAGGTAAGTATCATACATAAATGAGGAAGCAGGCGCACCAGGTTTTGGCACCAACCAAGGGCATTTAGCCAGCACGGTGACAGAGCTGAAACTTTGATCTTAGTACCTGGGGACAAATGGCAAGTCTCCCTCTTTGCAGTGGAGGCTGGGGGTGAGGATGAGGACAGAAGGGGAAAGGTGAGGTGGGCAGAAGATGGACCAGGTGAGCGTGGCTGCAGGGTGAGAGGCGACAGGCGGGGTTCCTCTAATAATAAGCCTCAGAACCTTCAGGGCTCAAGGCAAGGGCCCCGGGTCCCCTCTCCCCTCCTGACCCGCAGACTCAGTCCTGACTCCTAACATTCATTTCCACCCTTTCCCCCAAGTCTCTGTTCTGTCTCTGGAACTCTCCCAGCTTTTCTTTTCCTTCCTTTTCCATCCCACTGAGTTCTGCTCAGTTCTTGTAGGATTTGAGAGCAGGTGAATCTGGAAGCCTTTCCAAAAGTGGTAGTCAGGAGGTGGCCTGGTTTCAACAGATACCTCTGGCATCCCGGTTCTCTGACCCTGGGTCCCTGGGTGAGGATTAAACTTCTTAGATGCAGGATGGAGATGCTGACAGGATTGCGGGGTGCAAAGAGGATTGAGGAGGTGCTCAGCACAAAACTCCTCCACCGCTGACACCATTGGCCATCCTCCTGTGTCACCAACGAAACTCAGAGGCTTCCAGGGCCATCAAAGAGGGGCAGCAGGGGGTCCAGTGGAAGGGAGGTGAGGGGAAGAAGGAGCCGCGCCCAGCCAGGAGGGGCCACTCACCGCAAGACCATCATGTAGAGGGGATTGTGGGAGACGCAGGCAATCAGAGCCACAAAGGAGATGAGGAAGATGGTCGGGAGCAGGAAGTGGGCACAGGGGATGGGACACGACCCAGTCTTCGCGGAACCAGATCCCTTGGTGATGCAGCTGCAGTTTAGATAGATCTTGAAGAGGAGAGGGAAGGAAACAAAGGGAACATCTGCTGTTAGTATTTCACCTCCACACGCTTCACATGCTGACACTGATCTTTGCTAGACAGGTCCCTCAGTTCAACGTCTCTGCCTTTAGGGTTTGCTAGGGAGCACCCAGATTCAGGCAGGTGATGCTGGACACAAAGGCAAGAGAGGACCCCAAGTGAGAGTTTCAAGGTGCCACGTGCATCCTTCCTCTGATGGTATAGAAGTGTCTGTAGGGAAGCTGTGGTATAGTCACACAATGGAATGCTAACTATGCTACATTGAAAAACAAGGAACTCAAGCAATTTTATTCAAAATGGGTGACCCTGCTGAGTGAAGTATCTCAGTCACACAGGGACAAATACTGCACAGTGCTACTGTTGTAAAACAGGACTGACCTCGAGGTTAGGGGGAGACTGAAAAGATGGGATAAATAATGTATACTGTGTTGAAACAGATGAGAGAGAGAACTGTTTAAAAGGGATATGTGATTAGGAATTATTGTCATGACAGGCGTCTAGAATGAAGGCTGCACAGTGGCGTGGGCCTGAGGGGAAGGAATGTAAAACAATAAAAGAATTTTTCTTTTACTTTTCAAAGAGAAGAGTGTAATGGGGGGAGGGGTGGGCAGGGAGAAAAGTGCAACAATGAATGAATGGAAATCCAAAGTCTGTAAATTTTCATTAAAAGTAATAATAATACATTTTTTTTTAAACAAACAAACAAAAATGTCTGTAGGAAAATGAGCTGTCGCAGTTTGACCTGGGCTTCTCTTGCGGACCCACACCGACACTGAGCATGGGCCAGTGCTCTTCTCTGAGCTGTCTCTAGAAGCTTTGCTTTTCTGGGAGGCTGTTTTTCTGTTTTTGTGTTGACTGCAGAGAAAGGTATAAACCAAAGAAAGAACAACAGAGGCACAGTGGAGTCCACTGAAATCTGAATCGATGAGGGCTTTGCTGGAGCGTCCTCCCTGAGAGGAATTCCTCCTGCCAACAATGTGTTCAGGGAGCTCTGGAGGGCTAGTGGTTAAGAAGCTGCCCTGCAATTCCAAAGGCACACAGTTCGAATCCACCAGTTCCCAGCAGAAGGACAGGCAATCTCCTCCTGTGTGATTTACTGTCTCTGAAACCTGATGGTGGGTCAGCAATGGGTTAGTTCCAAATTGATGGCACACAACAACAACAACAACATGTCATGTCTGTAGCCTTTAATGTGGATTACGTCCTAACATCGAGAAAATAAAAAATCCTCACCACCGGACCAATAGGCAACATCATGGTAAATGGAAAGATATTAAAGTTGTCAACAATTTCATTTTACTTGAGCCCATAATAAGCATCCATGGTGGTAGCAGTTAAGAAGTAAAACAAAGGAGCGCCGCCGCCGGACGGGGGAGTGCCGCGAGAGGGACCCAGAAGAGACCCGGGAAGAACGGCAGCCAGCCACCTACCGCGGAACTCCAGAGGAGCGAAGACTGTGAGATCCCAGAGGAACGAAGACTACCGGACACTGTGTGACCCCCCTGCAACCCACACCTGTGTGACCCTTAACACACAGGGTGCTGCTGCATAAACCCCCAGCAGCGCCCAAGCCCCGTCCCCACCTCTTGGTGATAGTGTCCAACCCCTGCGCTCCTTACCCCCTAGTCCCTTGCT